GAATTTGCTCTGTAAATCTTCATCCAAATCACAATAAAAAAAAAAAACCAGTAGTGCATTTTAAAAAGTTAATACAATTATATCTATATTCTTATTTAATCATCACACTTTGAAGAGGAAAGGGTAGATATGATCACAATCATTTTACAGATGAAAAAATTGAGGTTCAGAAAAGCAGAGGCCCTAAAATTGGTCACGGTCAAAAGAAAAAAAAAAGAAAAAGTAACATCATCTCCACTCAGCAGATGGGGAAACAGTCTCTCAGAAGTTGGGGAAGTTGCAGTAAGAGTCAGTGCTGGGATGCAAATCCAATTTGGTCGATTCAAAACCTTGTATATTTTCCCTTGTGTTGTGTTGCCTGCCTCTGTTTTCTTTCTCCAAATTACAGAGCTGAAGGATTATTAGAAATAACACCCACCGCCACCACTACCTCAAGAAAATTGTACTTGCTCAGTTGAGTCACGGGGTACATGAACTCAAGGGAGAGGAAGATGAAGCATTTGGAAGATGTCTTCAAACTTTGGCACAGCTCAATTCAAGGGCCTCAGGAGAGGGGGCGTGTCTTTGGGATATTAGTGCTGCTTTTTCCTTACACCCACCAGTCCCTCTGTGGGAGAAAGAGGAGGCATTCTGCTTCTGTAAAGATTTACAGCTTTGGAAACCCTGTGGGGCAGTTCTACTCTGTCTTACAGGGTTGTATGACTTGGAATTGACTCAACGGCAGCGGGTTTTTCTCCTTGAAGGACTCTGCACACCCAGCCACAGAGAGTACAAAAGCCTTGCCCCTCCTTCTGTTGAAGTTCATATATATAGCCACAGCCAAACCAAAAACCAAACTCACTGCCCTCGAGTGGAACCTGACTCATAGCGACCTCTCTTTGGGGTTCCGAGGCGGTATCACTACGGAAGTAGATTGCCCAACCTTCCTTCCAAGGAGTAGCTGGTGGGTTTGAACCTCCAGCCTTCTGGTTAGCAGTCAAATGCCTTAGTAACTATGCTACCAGAGCTTGTATTTTAAATCAAGTAACACCCTATGGAATGACAATCATTATATCCTATAGACGTGGTTTTCAAATTTTAGTAAATTCAATTAATGGTTAATGCTTGCATATCTTATTTCACACTAACTTGAACATAAACTTTATTATTCATTTGTGGGCTTTTGTGGGGCAGAGAGGCATCTTCTCCCTGCTTTTTATTCTTTGCTTTCTAATTTGCTGTTAAAATGTTGCAGATCACAAACCAAGAGTATGTTGTTAAAGCCCATTACACAAGTGGGCAGCAGTGGGAGTTCTTGTACTTTTAAGAAATGCCAGTTGAGGAGGGCTTGGAAAATTGCCCAGAGTGTCCAAATGCAGAGAGCTTGCACAGAAGTGCAGGCTGATCCTAATCACCCTCCTTTTTGCTGGAAACTCTCATTTTGGTCATTGTGGTAATGCCATATTCTGTGTTTCAACTCTACTGAGATTGATAGCCTCTGATTTTTATTTCTCTTAATGTGCTGCCCACTCATTTGCAGACTCTTCTGAACCTATTTTTGAGCTCTGCATATCAGTTTTCCTTTAACTATAATAATGAAATTATTATTTACAAAATCATACATATTCAAATCTATTTTCTTAAACAATTCGCTTATCAAGTCCATTGTAAAAGTGTGTTATGTTCAATTTTGCCTCCTTTCTGTCCAAAGTCCTTCTAAATTATTGATTTTTAAAACACATTCATGTAACAGTTCATCTCTGTTTAAATGTTTACAAAGTGTTTGTTCCTTGTAGACATTTTTGTACATTACTTTAGTGTTCCAAAGAGAAAACCTAAATGCAAGAAAGCAAACTCTGTAACTTTGGTTCCAAAAGCAAACTAACTTTCAAACAATATGAATTCCCTCCCCAAAAGCTTTATCCTAGTCAGCTTTCCTGAAAATCTTGGCAAATCTTTATATATATATATAAATATATATATATTTATAAATATAATTATGTATTCACTGATGACTATTGCAATCTACTTAACAGGGAGAAAGTTAACAACAAAATTAAACTGTTAACCATCTGCAAGGAGAAAAGATTAATTTACACTATTCTCTTTGTTAGAGAGACTTAAGAAAGAAGTGAGAAAATAAAGCTAAACTCTTTTCTTCTATTGTCTCGCCTTGTCTTTTCAGGAACTTCCACAATTTACAGAACCTTAGTTTGGCTTATTGCAGAAAATTCACAGACAAAGGTTTACAGTACCTGAATTTAGGGCAAGGATGTCACAAGCTCACCTATCTGGACCTTTCCGGCTGCACCCAGGTTTGTCCTTCAATCTTCTCTTTCCTGTAGCGGGTGATGAAGGAGTTCTCCGGAGAACGGGCTGCATCCAGCCCTCCTGTTTTGCTAACGCTGTGCACAGCCTGCAGCACACTTCTCAGAGCTTTTTTAAATTACAAGGCCACAGCTGCTGAAATTTTCCCCAGGAATACTATAGGCTCTTGGCGTCCTTCCACTTGAGTGTCACATCAACAAACACGCAGAGCTCATTGGATGATGAAACAGAGCACTTCTGTGTAGATGTTCCAAGCACAATTCTAATACTGGAGTCCAAATCTTGAAAACTGCAGAGTTGTTACCAAGACACAAACAAAGGAAAACCTTTTTTGGAGGGAAGATCTGCAAAGAACTTGCTGAAAAGGCAATTAGATCCCATGTGGGCTTTCAAAGGGTAAATGCTACAAGTGGTAAATATGAGGAAAGAAATGCAATGAAAATGCATTTCATCCTTGGTTAAATAACATGAAGATTTGAGATCTTTTTGGGAAATATTTTAAGTCTGAGGGGCAGGATTAAGGAAAATTAGCCAGAGAACAGGGTGGAGTTGTGTGGAGGGGAGGGCATGGTATTTGGAAGTAGTTACTGCCTCATTGATAGTTTCTTCTGTCAATAGGTTCAAGCCATGACTCTTTTAATTTCATTTCTTCCACTTCTCTGTGTGTTTTATTAATATTGGTGCCACAGTATGTTCATCATTCTATGAGAATAATATAATATAAGTGAGAATAATATAATATATAGTATAAGTGAGAACTGGCTGAAATATTATTAGGTACTATTTGTTGGGAGCTCTGGTAGCTTAGTGCGTAAAGCATTTGACTGCTAACCAGAAGGCTGGTGGTTCAAACCCACCAGCCACTCTTCGGAAGGAAGACTGAGCAATCTACTTCCTTACAGATATCACCTCAGAAACCAAGGAGGGTTTGCTATGAGTCAAATTGACTCGATGGCAGTGAATTAGTTTGTTTATCTGTTGAGTCATTACAGTGCCAGGCACTGTGATGAAGGCTTTACATAGATCAGATTTACTCCTCATCTCAGTGCTATGTAGTGCTGTGTAATATGTATTTATTATGTCCATTTTACCAATGAGGATACTAAGGCTCAGAGCAGTTGAATAAACTGCCCAACATTGCATAGCTGGTGAGAGAACACTGTACAGTTATAAGTTATAACACACCTGCTAACATCTGTGATTACGTTTGGACTCCTAAAGACAAAATTTTTGACATTAGTTCTCTTTCATTTTCAACAGCAGAATGCCTTAACCACCATGCCATCAGAACTGCTTATGGGAATGTCCAGTCTACTAAAAGTCATATTCAATAGTTTCTCCATTTATCATAATTTGATTTTTAGTAGCTTGGACATTAAAATAAGGAGCTCTGATGGTACAGTGGTTAAGGCATTCCTCTGCTTACCAAAAGGTTGATGGTTCAAACCCACAAGCTGCTCCATGGGAGAAAGATGAGGCAATGTGCTTCCATAAAGATTACAGCCTTGGTAACCCTATGGGGCAGTTCTACTCTGTCCTATAGGGTTTCTATGAGTCAGAATTGAGTTGGCAGCAATGGGTTTCATTTGTTTTTTGGTATATATGTAACAAGGAGCCTTGCTGGCTTGACAGTTAAGCATTCGACTATTGTATTAGACTGGGTTCTCTAGAGAAACAAAAACAAGCAAAGCTTATATATATGTAAAGAGAGAGAGAAATTTATCTTAGGAAAATGGCTCACAAACGTATAGAACCCGGCCAGTCCAAAGTCCCTGGAGCAAACGTCAGGCCAGAGGCTTTTCTTAGCTTCCGCAACCGCAGGGGCCGAGAAGCTCAAGGCTGGCAGGCAGTACGTCGGCTGTTGACTCTAACGAATGACGAATCCAAGATCTCTAGGCCAAACAGTGGACTGCTCACTCATGGACAGTTGTAGGCAGCACAACAGAATCTCGATCCACAGAAGAATGTCCCTCTTCCCAGGATGTCCCTGGGTATCCTGGAAGCAGGCCACACCCCTAGGGAAACTCCCCCTGAACAGATTGGCCACTCACAACACAGTCATCTGATCCCATCATGGAAACAATCACACAGAACTGGGGTCCAGCCAAGTTGACATACAGCTCCAACTATCACAACTATTAAACAAAAGGTTGATGGTTTGAATCCACCCAGTGCTTCTGTAGGAGAGGTGGTTTTTTTGGGGGGGTGATTTTTTTTTTTTTTTTTACAGACCAGGCTTGGTGATTTGCACTCAGAACATTACAGCCTAGACAACCCTGTGGGGCAGTTCTACTCTGTCACATGGGGTCACTGGGAGTCAAAATTGACTCAATGGCACCTAACAACAACAACATATGGGATGATTTAAAACTGTATGCTTCAGATGATTTTTCCCACAGGAAAAACACCCAAGAAATTGAGTCTTTTGCAGGAGAAGGCCCTTCATGGATGCATCCCAATTTTCATAATTTTTCCCGTGTTCACTAGTCCACATTCATCCATGGGACTGGTCCTTCTTTAAATCTTCACAATGAAAATTTCTACCTTTTGAGATAGCCCACCCTTTGCCCATAAATATTGGTCTTGATCCAATGCCCATATTTCACATTAATCTTATTAGTATTTCTATCAGTTAAAATTCTTTCAGCAGCAATGAAAATAAATGGAACTCTAAAGGGCTTAAGGAAGCTCTGGTGGCATAGTACCTACGGCATTTGACTGCTGACCAGAAGGCTGGAGGTTCAAACCCACCAGCCACTCCTCAGAAGGAAGGTTGGGCCATCTACTTCTGTAGTGATACCACCTCAGAAACCCAAGGTGGGGTTGCAATGAGTCAGATCTGACTCGATGGCAGTGAGTTTTTTTTTTTTTTTTTTAAAGGGCTTAAGCAATAAGGATGGTTTTATTATCTTATATAACAAGAAGTCCAGAGGTAGGTGGTTCCAGGATTAATTGCTTTGTTGGTTTGACATCTTCATCAAGACTCAGGGTTATTTCCATCTTTGTTAGTTGGGGTAGGCTAGCTGCTCCAACAACCAGAAAGCTAAATGACTCAACCCAGTGGTACCTCACTTCTTACTCATAGATCGACAGAGGTATTTGGCAAATGGCCCTCCGTGGGGTGATTCAGGGATCCAGGGATCCTCCATCTTGTAGCTCTTTATCCCATAGGGCTGCAGAGCTCTCTGCTTGCTTCTTCCAGCAGATAAGAGTGGAGGATTATAAGAGAGCATCGTGGCGGTGGGTTTTTTTTTTTTTACAGACTAGGCTTGGAGATTGCATACATCACTTCATTTCACATTCTATTGGCTAGAACTCAGTGTTTGTGGTCCATCAGTGTGTCCAGGAGGAACGGAGACAGTTGTGAACAACAAGCCAATTTCTGCCATACCATCTTTCCATTTTGTTCTCTGCATACAGGCTTTGCTCCTAATCATTGTAATATGGCTGCCACATTACAGGCTTCACAGCTAAATACAACAATGTCTAACAGAGAAAAGAGATGGCATTTTCTGTGTGTATCTTTTTTTCTTTTATGTAGCTTTTTAAGAGTGAGAGACCTTTCTGAGATACCTGACAGAGAATTTCCCCTATGATGATTCACTGGCCACATTTTAGCCAGAAGCCCATCCTTAAAGCTGTTACTGGCAATGGAAAGGAATGACCACAATTGGTACAAACTGTTCACAATGTGTCTTTGAGCTGGGAATGCGGTCATCTTCCTTGAGAGGTGAATTACTGAACAAAATTGATATTCTGTTGACAAGGAAGAAGGGGAGAAGTGTTTTGAGTATGCAACTACCTCCCATTTCCCCAAATCTAAGTTATTTGGTCCAGAACAATACCCATGGGGACGCTAGTGGAAAAGTCTAGGGCAGGTTTTACTTTTCTACTCTGTTTCCCTTAAAAATAACTGCACACTGACTTATCTCCTTGTTCTTCTCAGTTTCCAGGGGGTAACTTCTATACCAACAGCACATAACACACATACAGACAAACACACATATACACTTTCTAATGATAAACATTAGTTCTAAGATATATTAACATCCAAATTCAAGGTTTCAAATAGGTGACCCACTGTCCAGATCTGCATGTAAAGAACACAGAGATGTTTCAGTCTGCACAGTATGTCTTTAACTTTTGAACCAACATTTAACGTTTAGGAGACTTCATATAAAACCCTAGATTTCAAACTTCTCTTGAAAAATTGGAAGAACTAGTGAAGTTGGCTTCCGTTCTCCTATGGCAGCAATGCGCTGAAGCCAAGTCGCCTTGCCCCCTTGAGATGGAGCATGTTCTCTAGCTTTCCCCCCTCTGCTCCACTCAGTAGTGCTCACACATGAACTTATACCTGGACTGCTACCACTTAATTGCATTACCTCTTTGCTTGGCCTGGCTTGCTTGCCCTCAATAGGTGTCCGAGTTTGGTCTAAATGTGTAAAAAGAAACAATGCTTTTCCTATTGCCCCTTAATTTGTAAGGCTATACCAAACCACAGTGAAGTTAGTATTTCACATCATTGTACAAAACAATATTAGTTCATTCCTTTTCCATTTCCACTGTCCAGGTAGTAAAAATTGAGCTATTTGAAACTCATCCTCTTTGGACCCTTTAGGAGTAAGAAACGGGCTCATTTCCAAACCATAAAAAACCCATTGTCATTGAATTGATACCAACTCATAGTGACTCTAGAAGAACAGGATAGAATTGACCGATAGGGTTTCCAAGGTCTTCATGGAAGCAGACTGCTGTATCTATCTCCCACCAAGTGGCTGGTAGGTTTGAACCACTAAACTCTCAGCTACTGACACTTTAACCACTGCACCACCAGGACACCTTTACTGAACAATAGGTAACTCAATAAAAGGAGCTCTGATGGCATAGTGGATAAGGCATTTTGGCTGCTAACCATAAAGTTGGTGGTTCAAGCCCACCAGCTGCTGCACAGGAGGTAGATAAGGCAATCTACTTCCATAAAGACTTA